TCTCTCTCTCTCTCTCTCTCTCTCTCTCTCTCTCTCTCTCTCTCTCTTCTGTCTCATACTTCAATGCTTACAGGTTTACCTATGACCTCCTGCAATGTCAGAAAAGAGCAGTTATTCCTCTAAGACCCTCCCTCCAAGACTTTAGCTCCCATGCACACAGCATGACTGTCACCTCCGTCCTCTCTGCCCTCACGTGCATATCCCTGATGCTGCGCCTTGTGTAGGTGGTTCTTCTAAGTCTATGTCACGTTTAGGTGTGCACCTGTCACCACTGAGCTGTGCTGAACAATAATATCGCATTGCCTTTTTTTAAAAAAAAAACAAAATTGTTTTCCTCGGAGTTAATAAGTTCTGAGGTCCCCACCACTTCCCCTGTTTACCTTTCTGGGAACATATTAAAATCACTCCGCAGTTTGATATTAAAATCAAACTGTCTACAGTTTGATTTCTCTCTGGGCAAGCTAAAACTCATGCCTTCAGCATATAATAAATTCTGCGGATTCTTTTATTTCCCCCATTTAAAAAGAATGAAGAAAGGGACAAAGGAGAGGCGGCGGGAAAGAGGGAGAGAGAGAAGGTGGGAGGGAGGATGGGACAAAATTTGAAAGAGGGAAGAGTAAATAACGGAGAAAAAGACAGAAAAGAAATGGTAATTTAAAAAACGATTTAGTGGTCTTCTCAGGTATTTTTCTATTGTAGGCCTCACGACTAGAGGGTCTAAGTTAAAGGCTTAAAAGCAATGTTGGATGTAATTTGTTCTTATAATCCCAGCATGGGGCAAGCAAAGACAAGAGGACTCCTGAGTCTTGCTGGCCGGTCAACCTAGCACAGTGAGTGAGTAAGCTCTAGGCCAGTGAGAAGCTCTCTCTCAAAAAAACAAAACAAAACAAAACAAAACAAAGGACATAAATATCACCTGATGTCTCCTCTGTTCTCCACACATGCTATCACCTCCCTGACTCATCTCCTGTGGTCATGGGTATCACAAACTCATTAGACACATAAATTCTTCCAAGATTCTCAAAGAAAACAAAGTGCATAGAGGCCAGATGAAAATGGGCTCAAGGGAGAACGGATGAGAGGCAGGAAAGTGGTTTCCAGGTTCCTGGGGTCATCTGGGATCCCAGATTCCATGTCTCAACCAGGACAGTGAGACTCAAAGTGGAGAGTCTCAAAAAGTTCTGCTCCATCCTCACCTGTGACATGTCAACAGGAAGTTGTCCCAGTAGCTAACATGTCCACTGCCCCCTGTGGTGTGCCAAAGACAGCCACTCAATCTAAGTAGCTCAGACTCCCTCCCCGCAGTGACAAAAGGACCAGGCGATTCATTCAATTCAATAAAGAAATAAAGCCAATTAGTATAGAGAAAGATAATCAGATTAGTCAAATGCCTTCCCAACAGGTTGTTTGGGTCTTAAGCTTCAGCAGAAAGGTCGCAAGAACATTTGACTGATAACTTCTGGCTCATAGAGGAGAGCGAAGAAAGAAAATCTATTGATTTAATTTGCTTTCAACCCCACCAGTCTACAAAGAAAAGTGAATTATCTCTAACAATTGTGAAAAATGTCCAAAAAATGTCACCGAAGTGTGTTAAACTAATTTGGATTATTGAAGTAGGACTCTAACTTGCTTTGGAATTAATGGCCCTTTTCAAAAAAGCAAGCCGTTGCCTGGTTGAATTTTAAGGTGCAAATGCCATCCTGTTTAGGCTTCATCTCTGCACCCTATGAATCACTTCCCCGTCTTCAGAATTACAGATTCTGCCGTCTCCACGAATCTTCAGAACCCGGCTGCCCACACTCAATTACAGGAATCTTATTAGAGACTCATCTCTCACCCAGGCTCTCTGCTGCGTGTTCTTTCCCTGATTAAAGGCCGCACTCTTAATAATTTCTCTCAGAAATAATTGTCGTGCCACGTCAGGAAGAGACTGCTTAAGCGGTTACAGCAATTGCAAATTTAGCCCTCTTGAAAAGGCTATAAGAAACTGTAAAATAATTAAAAAGAAAATGCAGGCAGAGACAACAGGACAAAATTGACAGTGGAATAATCGGCCTCTTTAATGTCAGACCTGCTTTGGGCCGTCTCATTTCTAGGCCTTATTAAAATGCTAATAAATGGATTACTCAAATATCATTATCTCAAAATGTGAGTAATTTGAATAATTTCTTTTGGTTTGTCCAAATATCTCCCCAAACTCTATTCATGTGGAGTCCACAGACTCAGAAATCTGAAGTAAGAAAGTGAACCTACAGAATCAGCCTAGCTGCCCTTCTAAGCAAGCAAAAATTGTAAACAGGAAGGTGGGTTTGTCTCTAGAACTGTTAATTGATTTGAGATTAAATTGTTCAAAAGTGTCTCTGCCATTAAGGAGCACACGGTGTGCTGGCAATTAAAGCAAGCAATCACTTACAAGAAAGCTGAGCAGATCTTTAAAACTAATCACGTTGTGGATGTCTATTTGCTCATTTATTTAAGTATTTATTGAATGCATTTTAAGTCTATATTTTTTAAATCCCATATTGTTGAACTTGAATATTGACCGGACACTGAGTGCAGCCAATATTGTGCCAAGAGCTAAGGTGTTTGCTCAATGGTAAGGGAAGCCAATAACTGTAGAAATTACTGTCTAATGGGGAGAGAGATTTATTTTATTCTTCATTTGTTATGATTACTGTTGGGGGGGGGTTACAAATACCACAGTGAATATGTGGAACTCAGAGGAAGCTTTAAGGAGTCAGTACCTTCCTCCTACCATGTGGGTCCCAGGGATTGACATCAGGCCACCAGGTTTGACTACACATACCTTTACCTGCTGAGCCATAATCACACATACACATCCCCAGGGCTGTGTCACTAATAAATCTGAATCATTCATCCGTGTCATTATGGGATGGCTTTTCTTGGAGACCCTCTGTATAGCTGACGTGTGATCTGAGGGTGCCTTCACATGTTACTCACATCCTACGGCTTACGTAATCTCTTTAGGAAAACAGGATGGTGTGTCATGGTGGCAGAGAGCCGTTGGTCTTCCCGGGCAGAGAAAGATGGGCACTGTTGGATGCTAAAGGCAGCCAGGAAGTAATAGGAAACCCAGAAGCTGGTGGGCGGCTGGAGAGCTGGCAAAAGCAGCTTCAGCCTCCGGCTCTACCAGCAGGAGGGACCCAAGAGAGGACCGGAAAAGTATGTTTATCAAGCAGAGCCTCTGGTATTTCTGTTCTAATGCAATCTTTGGAAAGTTCTCCTCAGAGTCCTCCTGTCTCTTCTCTCAGTCTCTCAATGGCTCTCAGCACCTGGGTTTTTCTGATGAGAGGCAATCAGGCCAAGTGTTCTCCCCTCATGGACATCCTGTGCCTTGACTATGTTTAGGACAAAATGGTGCTTGAAACTCTTGTCATGAATCTTTAAAAATCTTTTTAAAAAAAAATGTCCATTCTACAAAACTGTACCCTTCAGATATCGATTCCGAAATCATGGGAGGAAAAGAGTAAATGATGATTAGAGAAACGTCACCAAGACATTCAAGGTGGAGGCTGAACCCGAACCGGCACTTTAAGAGTTCTTAGTTTTTAAAGTCTCTTGTCGTTGAGTGAAAATCGTGTGTGCATCTCTTCTTGGAATGCAATCAACAAACCTGCAACAAAGGCTCATCATTCCTTAAGATTCATATAGCCAGGAACAGAGAGAAATTATTCTGTCTCAGCAGTTTCAGAGAACTGTGATTTAACTAACAGCTTCAGAGAAAGAATTAATACTCTTCCATTAATCCTAATAATAAAAAAGGGTACAGGAAAGGAGATCATTATAAGAGATGTAGGAGGGCCTGTCAGAGAGGGAAGGACCACCATACCTCAGAGCTCCCTTCTGAGGCCCCAGGCCAGGTGAGATGTCCAAAGAGGGCACTGCCCATGAGAGAAACAATTAAAACTAACAGCAGTTGACAAAGGCAGGATACAGCTTTTTACCAGGATCACCCGTAGTCCTCTGTATATAATATTTAGAAATATATGTCTTTTATGTGTATATCATTAGAAAACTTTTTATTTGGGAAACCTGTCATTGCCATCTTCCATGAGTCTCGTTCCCAGGGGAAGCAGCGTGTCTGGATCATGTGATCCTCTCAGCTCATTTGTCTGGGTCATGTGATCCTCTCAGCT